CTGTCTGGCTCTGCAGCCCCCGGCGTCTGTCGGTGCCCGCGGGCCACTCACCTGCAGAAGAACCTTCCTCGATGGGTCCTGGGTGCGGGCAGAGAAAGTCTGCGACGCCCCGGCCCTGCGATAAACCGCGGCAGCGCGGATCTGGCCCGCTGTCTCTCACTTCGAGGGGCAGCTCTCCCGGGTCTCCCCGGCCTCCCAAATAGGCTTTAGCTGTTCCCACAGTCCCTAAGCCGCTTGGCTTGTTTAATTCTGCTCCAGTTCCACCTCTAAACCCAGTATTCTTTGAGCAGTCTCATTCAGTTCTTCTTGTTGCTTTTGCTTCGGCGATTCTCAAGAGTTGTGAATGGAATCGACATCTTTAGTAACGTGGCTTGTCGAATCAATAATGAATGTGATTGGCCATCTGCGGTGGTCAGGGAAGAAACCCCAAACTGTGGAAACACTCCAGCGTCGATTAAGGTGATGCTGGAGCTGGAATGTGAGTAACAGAAGCCCTATCAATTGTACTTGAAAGTGTTTGGTGGACCACCACAAAACTAGGTGGTCAGCTAGGACAGTAGTCCCCCAATTTTCCAGAGTGTATATAGCGACTTCAATTTATTTTTAAACATAAATCATGAGACCGCACCCCTTTCTTTGAATATTTTGTTTAGAAAGAGGAAGGGTGATAAAGGGCTACTGCAGAATGATGAGTGCACATTGCGGGATCCAGGCTTATCGCAGCGACTGGCATTTGCATACATCCTGGAAGAACCGCTGCGGACCTGTGTGTGACAGTGCTAATGTAGGGATTCAGGAACTGATAGCAAGAGAAGAGAAGCATCCAAATGAAAGTTGGCAGGGCCCAGCCTAGCCCAGTGCAGTTCAGGAAGAGGCTGCCAGCAGAGGAGAAGGGGACATCAGGCTTTAACATTTCCATGTCATTTATGGTATTTAAATAGTACCCAGGTCGTCCATTTCCAGTTTATGACTACTAAGCAGGTTTATGGCGATAATTTGGCTTCCAAATGATTAAGAGTCCAGGCCTTTTTTAACCTTTTCAGAAAAGTGGGCCACACGCTCTGATCATCTGTGTGATCCTGTAATAAGCGAGTTGTCCTATAGTCTCTACTTTGAAGACCTTCTTTACAGGGAGATATTTGTTCAGAAATCATGTATTATTTTCTAGACTTAGATAGCTCATTATAAGATGGCAGTATTCATTCTTGTTAATGCCTGTGTATGTCTCTGGTGGTCTTAGATTATACATTCCTAAGAGGCAAGTTTCAGTTTTACTATTTCTTTATTCCTTTAGAGTGAGCTGGGCACAAAGCAGTTACTTATCTGAACTCGTTTTCTCACAGTTTACGTTCTACTGGAAAGAGAGAATCATAATAAATGAAAGATAAATCCATACCACATGGTAACAAGTGGTGTGAGGGAAACAAGGTAAGAGGGTGGAGAGGTGGACATTGATCTATGGCATGGGGAGCCATGCAAAGGCCCCAGGGGAAGTAAGTGGCCGGTATCCAGCTGGTAGACGGGTGTGCCAGACAGAGGCAGACAGCAAATATGGACAGGCTCTCAGGAGAAAACACATCTGGAAGGGAAATGGAGGACGATTTATGTCTTGGGTAAAGATACTCCAAACCTTGCAAGTGACCAGCAAAGGTGGAAAAGTGAACTGGCAAGGCACCCACCCCACAGAGAATGGGAACTAGAGTTGGGTTGTGGCCTGAGGCGCAAGAGGTTTGGCAAGAGATGAGGATGAGACCAGGTTCTCTGCAAAGCTTTTGTAACTTTGGGAACTTCCGGCAGTAGGAAGCCGCCATACTCTGGCAGTATAGACACTAACGTCAGAACACACAGAGGAGATTATTCATGAAGCTTTCTATACTTGGTGTGTGTTCATCAAATGCTGTATGCTGAGTACGAGGGGAGAGAGTCAGCAGTACAGTGCTTGCTCAGCATACCTGAGGCCTTGGGTGGCTTTGTGCAGTACCACACAAACAAACCATTGTAAACCAAATACATAAAATGCATTCAAATGTTAAAAAATAAATTTAATTGAAAAATTAAGTTGCTTTTAATTAAAATGAAACACTTTTAAGTAAATACATGCAAAAGACAAAACATTCAACCAATATAAAATAAACCATAATAACCAGCAGATTCCTTTCTCCACTGACCCCACTTCTTCCCAGAGGCACCACGACTACTGTGTCTTTTGTTGTACCTTCCCAGAAACATACAGATCTTCATGTCAACACAAGAATGCAACCCCCTTGTCTCATTTGGGTGTAAAATGGTACCTTATTCCATAGTATATTGTGCACCTTGTTGGTGTCCTACAGTCTACTATAGTGAACATTTAGGCTTCTTCTCGGGCTCCATCAAATTCTTGTGGATACAAAACACTAGGAGCCAGAAGCCCTGGGCCCTGTTCCTGATTTGTTTCCTTGGTACAAATTTACACCTGTGTACTATTTAAGTCCCACCCAGTATCTCTGCCTACAGTACCATTGTCTCCCACTTAGATTTGGATAAGCTCATTTACTGGTCTTAATGCATTGACACCTGTCAACTTTCTTGAAAATATTTGACACTTGGCAGTTGGAGAGGCTGAGGGAAGGTAGGTCACACCTGTAATTGAACTCGATATGGAAGTTCCTAATGATGTTTCCAAGCCACTATGATGCAGAATGTTAAGGACAGTCTTTATGCTAGTCTCAAAAATAGGGGCCAACATTTGCATGTATTTAGAATATGTAATTTACCAGTGAGTACTCCAAAATTAAAAATTTACATACATTTTTACTTCTGGTTAAAATGGACATAGACTGTTATTATCAACCTGACTGGGCCAGGGGTTACCCACTGATCAAGCATCCTGGATACACATGTGAAGGCGGTGGATTGGAGAATACATGACTTGGTAAGCTGAGTAAAGCAGATTGCCCTTCTGAATGTGGGTAGTCCTCATCCAGTCAGATGGAGGTTTGAGTAGACTTAAAAGACTGCCCTTCCTCAATCGAATAAGTGGGATTCCCTCTTGCTTAATTTCTTTAAGCTGGGACATAGGTCTTTTCTGGCCCTTTGACTCAAACTGAAACAGGCTTTTCTTAAACCTGGAGCTTGCTGGCTTTCAGACTAGAACATGACCTCAGGGTTCCCTCCGAGGAATTTTTACCTGGAATTGTACTAGAAGGAGCATCAAATGTACCCATGTCTCATTAGTGCTGACAACATCCTGCAAGGTCAGGCTCTCACTCAACAGGGGATCACAGTTGCCTGGGAGCTTGTTGAAAACAAGGCTGCTCTCCTCCCAGTGTTCAGATTCAGGAAGTCTTGAGTAGATCTTGGAGTCTTCACTCTTACTAAGACTCTCAGGATAGCTCTGATGGAGGTGGCATCACCTCCATGACTGACCTTAGGGAGCAGGCCAGAATTGATTCTTTTCCAGGATGAGCTCTAATGTGGAATCAACGCAGCCACACTATCTGAGGGTCTCCCAGAAGAGGTGTGTTGGTAAGGAGGTACCCAGACTCATCCTCAAAGCCTGAGAAAGGGGTGCTGATGTGGTCTCCATAGTTCCCAACTCTATTCAGGATTCCAAATTATGCCTAGCATTGGTGAACTCAAAAATAAGCAGTAAAAATCTCCAGGTGACAGGCAAGCATGGATCTAGGAGACCACAGTAATACTCTTTGCCTTTTCCCTTCTCCCCTTTCACTGATATCGGGCTAAGGAAGCCAAATAGACCCACACAGATAGTATGTTGTTTGGGTATGGATGAATGTATACAGCTAAAGCAAATTCCATCTGCGGAAATTCAGAAGAGTGAATTCCAGTCTGGTACACGGCATCAATGACTGACTGGACATCTGTGTAGGGCATCTGGATGGGAAATCCCGTGACCTGGATAAGGTTAGAACAACACAATGGCACATTACAGTCTAGAAGAAGTTTGGAATTACCATATGCAGAAAGATCACAGAAGTCTTCGTGATGTGGCAGTATTAACAGTAACTGGCTTTTGTGAGGGACTATGATATTCCAGATAGTATGACATAAGCCACCGAAAACCGTATGAGGTAAGTTCTGTCATCACCCCCACTTTACAGACCGGCTAGAGAACAGCCAGGGCTGTTTGACGCAAAAATCTGTACAGTTGACAGATAACAAACTTGGACCCTTGCTGTGGGATGCCTTTCTATACGGTGTGAATATGTGTTGCTCTCACTGGTTGATAAATAAAGCTGTTTGGCCAATGGTGAGGCAGAATAAGGTTAGGAGGTACATTCAAATGAAAGATGGAGATGAAGAAGAGTTAAGTCAGGAGAGATGCCAGCCAGGCGCCCAAGGAACAACAAGATGCCAGCAGACCGGTAACACCACGGCCACGTGGCAACATATCGATTAATAGAAATGGATTAATTTAAGATGAAAGAGCTAGTAGCAAGAAGCCTGAGCCATAGGCCATACAGTTTGTAATTAATATAAGCCTCTGTGTGTTTACTTGGGACCAAGTGGCTGTGAGACCAGGCAGGACTCAGGAAAACTTCTGACTACAGACACTCTAGATAGCAAACTGCCAATAAGGAAATGTTGGGGGTCCTACATAGGAGGGCTGTAAATAGAATTTTTGAGGTGTTTATTCAGCAATAATTATGTTTATATTAAGTAAGTACTGGTGTGATAGTATTGAAGGAATGTGGGTCTAAGAAGTGTTATATCATAGTACACAGACGACAACCATGAACCCTTTATATAGCCTTCTACTGCTTCCCTTGGGAAGATTTTTCTCATCCTTAAATCTGCTAACATGTTTTTTCTGTGTGCACTGTCCTCTCTCTAGCTCACCTAACAAGATTTCATCATTAGTGTTTTCTGATCTGCCTCCAGTCCGTGACCTCTGTGAATACACTCGATTGTGTCTCTGTTGTTCACTGCCATAATTCCAGTGTTCAGCCTAGGTCCTGGCACAGAACGGAAGCAATGTTTAGCATTTACTAAGCACGAGATGTTGAGTGCAGTACTAAGTATAAAACTCACTTAATTCCCACCACAATCACAAAACAGACAACTATTTTTACCCCCCGTTATCCAATGGGACAAAAGGTATAGATGGGTTAGATGACTTCACCTAGGCTGAAACCAGTGAATGGTCAAAATAGGAGCTGAGTACAGGCTGCAGGGCTCAGTCTTGACCCAGTTATTGTCTACTATGCATTATTAGTCTGATATTTCTACAGCTTTAAATCTTGGCTTGTATTTAACTATAGTTTGTGTATCTCTTTAATCCCAAATTCTATTAAAAAACAAAGAAAAATAAGAACGGCTTCCTTCTTATTCTTGAATGGATGGTACCTGCAGACCCCTCTCTGACTGCTGAGGTACTCAGCTCCTAGCAGACCTTTCTCTTAGGGAGTCCTCCTGGGAGACATCTAACTTCCTGGGTGGTAGAGGGGGGAGATTCTCACTCTTGGAAAACTGGGGTCTCTAAGAACCCGATGGACCAGTTACTAGAGAACAGGTGTGTGTGTGTGTGTGTGTGTGTGTGTGAAGGAATGCTGGTGTTAGACTGTAAGAAAAGAGAAGATGGACAGATGTCCACCTCATGTGTTTATGGACTTGCTGGACTTGAGGTGCCTTTTTACTACCCAGGGAGACGTCAATGCATTGATGATGGTGAAAGGTGAGGTTGGGTGTCAAGGTCCAGGCTGGACATGAAGTTGGCAGTAATTTGCATGCCGAGATAACTGAAGTTTCCTGGACTTCTCCTGCCCAGAAGCAATGACACAATCCAGTAGGTTACTAGAAATCATTTCTCAATTTCCTAGTTTCAGAGTGGACGTCTCTTTTCAAAGTTCACCATTTATGTGTCAGAAAACATACAGTTGGTTCTAAAAAAAATGCCATGCATGTAATGTTGATTACATCACAACTTTTTCGTGTATATGTAAATAGAATCCAGGCTGAAGGGCTCCATCTTGACTTAATTATTGTCTACTATGCATTACTAGTCTGATATTTTCACACAGAAACTCCAAGCTTTAAACCTTGGCTTATATTTAACTATATTTTATTTATCTCTTTAATCCCAAATTTTATTAAAACAAAGAAAAATAAGAAAAAACTTTCTCCTTATTCCTGAACAGATGGTACCTGCAGACCCCTCCCTGACTGCTGAGGTTCCCAGGTCCTAACAGATCTCTCTTTCTTTTTGAGAGATCTCCTGCGAGACATCTAGCCCCCTGGATGGTGGAGCAAGAGATTCTCACTCTTGGGATTTCCAACTCATCTGTCTGGTGACCAAAAAAGAGGCATTTCAGAGATAGTTCAGATTTGCTGTTATTTTAACAACAGGTTAAAACCAGATGTCACTTGTACATTAAATCATATACAAACCCAGTAAAACTGTAGCAGCCTTTCTAGCTCACTGTCTTCAAACGAAGCGAAACTTCCCGTGTAGAACTCCAGCTTGGGAAGGATTTGCCGCAGGACGGAAGTGCACTGTCGATTCCAGCGTGTTGGGTGCTTAGGTCGCCATTCCATCATCTTACATTTCAGTGTCCTCTCCAGCCTACGGTGAGGATGCAGAGAGACTCCGTAACAAATTGTGACTCACTTAGTGAATGTCACAAGGACTGTGTCACTAAGACTGTGTCAGGAGTGAGAAAGAAACTTAGGAGATTTAGGAGGGAACCAGGCATTGACAGTGAGGCGGGTCTCAATGGGAGCTGACATCAAAATGCTTCACCTTCTGATAATGATGCAAGTGGAGTCTGGCCCCTAGTGCCTGGTAGTCTAAGTAGTTCTGGAAGCAATTCTAATGCAAACTAGTTGGGGACCCTTTCCCTACTGCATTTATTCCTTGTTAAGAACAGGGAAATGGGGGCTGGAGAGAGAAGGCTCAACAGTTAAGAGCACTGGCTGCTCTTCTAGAGGACCCAGGTTCAATTACTAACTTCTGTGTGGTGGCTCACAACCATCTGTAACTGCAGTTTCAGGGTAGCTGAAGTCCTCTTTTGGCCTTTGTGGGCACCAGAAATGCATGTGGTAAACACCCACACACATATATGCAGGTAAATACCCATCCATCCATCCATCCATCCATCCATCCATCCATCTATCCATCCATCCATCCATCCATCCATTCTTCCATGTGTGTGTGTGTGTGTGTGTGTGTGTGTGTGTGTGTGTGTGTGTGTTAATAGTTCTTTTTCTAATCTCAAAAAAGGGGTACTAATGGTGGCTGGGGATGGAGTAAGCTGGTATGCTATCAAGAAAAGGAAGTAACAAGATGAATTTGGTCTCATTGTTTTGATTGGCTGACAGTGGGTTACATTCCAGCCTGCTGTGTGAGTGTGAGCCTCTGCAGGAAGTCAGATTCAGAAGCTGCTGACACACGTGGAGTACAAGTGAAGCCTACTATATAGTCTATGGCCCATTTGGGGCTTGATTGAGGCTCTCCATAAGGCAGTGAATGTATGTTTGGGAGACATCCAGGATTGACAGTGAGGTTTAGATAGTTTGTACTATCCAACTGAGATGTTTTCACCACAACCAGGGTCATGGCCATTAACCTTCATATCCTTCTAGAAGGATTATTACCATAGGCTTACCAACTATCTACACTGAATGTTTCAACCATGGCCCATGATGTCCAGAGTTAACTTACACTATCCTTTCAAGGGATTCTTTAGTTGGTGGAGAGACCATTTATCAATGCTAACACCAAGAGAGTGTAGTTCAATAGGACTAGCCGTCGTAATCTCCCCTTTCATGCTTGTGTTGCTAAGTCTAAGGAGCACTTTGAGAGGCTGGGTAAAGACTAGAGGGTGGGACAAGAGAGGGGCGCGAGGACACAGTACCTGCTCTTCAGATCTTCTACCATGCTTTTGTTAGTATCGGAATAAACTATTTCTTCAGGCTGAAATGCAGACAGCTGAAAGTTAGGAACATTCTAGAGACCACCTTTAGATCTCAGTCACCCCTTAAATCCTGGGGCTGGGAAGGCTGGACCCAAAATAGTCTCTCATGGTAAAAGCAATCTCAAATTCAAACGAAGACCACACATTTACTTTGATTTCCACTCATCTTAACTCAGCATGGGGGCAGGGTTATAACAGAGATACTTTTCATGGCTAAAACACATTTGCTATTCTCATTTCTTTCTTAGGCAAGTATCTGGCATGCTTATTGGTATCACCAAATGGTCTCACAACACTGGTCTCTTATACCTATGGTGACTTTGGCAAAGTTACATAATATAATTTCTGATTCTGTTACTTTGATCATTAGAACAGGAACAATAGGTGTGCCTTACTGCTTTGAAGTCTTAGAACTATTTTACAATAAAGCAATACATGTAAAGCCTGGCATTTATGGAGTGCTCAATAAACATCAGATAATACTGTTACTCTTCTGACATGGTTTATAACCATCCTTTTCTGGGTCTATATTTCTTGTAGCTGGCAGGAACCAATTCCTTGTGTCTGTATGTACCTGCATATGTGTGTGTACTTAAATACACAGAGAATCCATTTCACACTCTCATCTCCAAACCTCTGCTCAATTTCACACCTCTAGCTCACAGTAGGGAGCAGTGTTCTTCCTGTTGCTCACTTCCTGTCCTGGGTGGGGTTTACCTCTGAAGTTCCTGCCTAAGCCAGCTCTCCCTTCCTTGTGAGATTCACAAGGGCTGTTCTGAGGGGTTGGGTTCCAACAGATGCTGCTTGGGGTATTCTGAACTGGGAAATAGAGGCAGCTGGAGGGATAGGGACAAGTGATCTCCAGAGTGGAATGAAAGTTGTGAAAAAAGGAAACAATACTTCATAAGCCTTTAATTCCTGAACTGTGGTCCCAGAACCAACCCGGGACATACGAACTTGTGAAAAATGCCAATCCTCAGTTCTGCTTTCATGCCCACCAAATCAGAAACTAGTTTGCTTTAACAAGTCTCCAAGATGGTTCTGATCCCTGCTGTGGTTAGACAGCTACTATTGTAAAGAGCAGGCTCAGGCCCACTGAACACAGCAGGGCAAGTTCGAGTCTAAACTCCAGAGACACCTTGAGGGGGTTGCAGCTACTCCAGACAGAGCACTGAGACTGATTCCCTGACCTGGCAGCCATTCTGTACCCATGAGGAAACTCCTGTGGATTAGTGAGCCCCTTCTGGCCTGAGTCTGTTGACTTGGCAAATCCTTTGAGAGGGGTTTTGTGAGCCTTCCAGTTTTGCCGGTGGTACCTTTCTTTGCAAGAACTTGCAACACTTCCTCGAAACTACAAAAAGGTTGCCTGTCGATCTTGGCTCTGGGTGTCTGGATGTGCTTGTATTACACAATGAAAGGTGTGTTCCTGATCATGTAAAATAGTGGTCAGCAAGTGGCTTATTCTGGGATGGGTGTGGTAAGGCAGGAGACTGACTGGAGAGAGATCCAGCTCAATGGTTGCTTGCCTTGTTTGCACAAAGCCCTGGGTTCAGCTCCAGGTACCATAAAAAGTCAACAGATAGTCAGGTCCAACAGCACAGAAGCTTTTGAAAAACTACATTTGATTATGGCCTCCTGCAGTGACTGACGTTGGCTTCTGACTTCCCTGTCGACTAAAGCTTAAGTCTCTACCAGCATTTGCTCATCCCTCGACCCATCTCTGCTCATGCAGCAACCAAGATGTTCTGGAAGCTCCTGGAAAGACACTTCCTGGCCACTGCAGGTCCTGCTGCTGCTAGCTGTCCCTTGGAGGCCATTCTTTTCCCTGAATTCCAAGGAGACAAGTTCCGCTCACTTAGCTTGTCACTCACTTTCCTGAAGCCCCGGAACTCTCCTCCCTCCTCCTCCTAGGGCTCCCCCCAAACAACAA